CCCCCTCCCCCACCAGTTCCCCCCTCACAGCGAACTTCATAGCCTCCACAATCCTGACCCTCACCATCCTCCCCAGGACTCCCTCCCTCATCTCCACCAGCACCTGCTCATAAAACTGATTATGCCCCACGAAGAACCTCCCATCATGCGAGGTCTCAGTAACCAGAACCCTCTGCACCTCCCCCACCCTCCCCCGATATGGTTCATACGACTGGAAGAGCTCAGACAGCCTCTTGGTCCTGGTCTTGACCACCTGAGTGGGGACCTTCTGCATCTTAGCAGCCGGAGTCCCAGGCCTCGGGAAGAACTGATTGATAAACAAGCTCGGAAATTTGTACTTCGTGCAGAGGCTCATGGTCTCCTCGAAGTCCTCCTCAGTCTCCGTGGGAAAGCCGCAGATGACGTCGGTGGCGATCGTCACCCCGGGCACCTTCTCCTGGAGTACATCGACAACCCTCTCAAAGTCCGCCCTCGAGTACTCCCTCTTCATGTCACTGAGCACCTGATCGCTGCCAGACTGCACTGGCACGTGAAGGAATTTGTAAACCCTGGGGTGACTCAGGATCTTGCTGATCTCCTCCAGGTGCTCCAGGATGTACGGGGGATTGGTCATCCCCACGCGCATCATGCAGCCCTCGGGGATGACCTCCACGATCCTCCAGAGGAGCTCGGGAAGGCTCGTCCCGATGTCCCGGCCGTAGGCCCCAGTGTCCTCAGACGTCAGCCAGAGCTCGACGACGCCTTCCTCGAAGGCCTGGACCGCTCGCTGGATTATCTCCTCTGGGGGGTAGCTCCCCAGCTCACCGCGGGCGTGCTTTGTCTTGCAGTAGGTGCACTGGTTCAGGCAGCCGGTGTTTATCGCGATTATCTCGACGAGGGGGTTCCTGCGGACCTTCGGCAGCGACAGGGGAGCACCTCCCATTTTCCTGCCCGAGAGCTTCTTCTGGGAGAGGAAGCGCACTGTGTTGCCTTTCAGGGTCTCCTCGACCACCTCGACCACACGGTCGATCTGCTGGACTCCGATCACACTGAGGTTCGAGAGGAACGACGTCTTCGGTGCTCCCTGGGGGACACATCTGGAGAATGGAGTTTTTATTGATTAAAGGGTATCCAAGTACTTTGGCTATTTTTTCTCCAGTGAAATGCTTTTCTACTTTTGTAGTCGACCACAGCTTTCATTTGAGCCCCATTTGACCCCAAGTTTCCGGACATTTCTCAAAGATTTTATTATTTAAACTTTGCAGGTTTGTATTTGAATCTTGATATTGAACTGTTAGAAGACACTATAAAAATCTGAAGAAATTTTATAAAGTTTACTTTTGGGGGAAGATTGATGAAATAATTGAAAAGTTACAATTTTTGGAAACTATGAGCCTTTTCTATAAATAATTTATAAACAATCGATTTTCTACCATAAAAATCATTTGTTCGGAATCGTAAAAAATTTATTCACATTCAGAATTTTACCATAAATCGATTTCATGCTTAAAAAATAAGTCTTCTGAAAATTTAAACAATTTCAATTATTTATTTATAAACAGCAAATGTTTAAAGAAATAATAATTCTGTGCAAAATGATTTCTCACGCAATGCAATTGACAAATTTGATGATTAAAAATGGTTGAGTCTGTAGTGTGGTCTGTACCAAACTGTAAAAGATACTTGGATATCCTTAAAGATATTACACTGGGGTCTGAATATACAGAGAATTAAACGAAAATTTTTCAACCCATTATTTAACCCATTCAGAAATCCTGTGCAAAAAATGGAAAATTGCAGGTACAGAATAACAACGAAAATAAATTCCAAAGTTGCTACTTATACACGAGGTCAAGTGGAGCATCGGTAAGTTCAGCATTTATCCCACACAAGATCTATGCGCGCGCTGATCTATTCATTTGTTGAAATGAAGAAATGAAATTCATTGAATTTCATTTTCTCATGAATACCTTATAAATATTGATAATGAATCAAAGAGAATTCGACTAATGATTGAAGTGAATAGCGAAGTAGAGTAAAAGAATCTATAAAGAATTTTTCATTTTCAATTAATTATCTTCAGTTTTTAAAAATAATCGGTCTCCATAAAAGGACAGAATTTATTAATTTCACCGATGATATATATACATGTGAAATATACATATATGACGTGAAAAAAAAATTTACCTCTGAAGAATTTGGAATTATATCACTGAAGAATGTGAAAATGCCGCGTTTTTTTTTTTTTGTGAATAACTTCGTGTCACATATTGACCAATCAGAATTAAGGATTAGCGGTCANGATATAAAACAACTTCACGTTTCGTTCATCTTTAGTAAATAGGATAGGATTACCCGTTGAGGGATAATGTAGGGAAAACACTGAATTTATCGATGTCCCATTAAACCTCACGTATAAGTAGCAACTTTGGAATTTATTTTCGTTGTTATTTTGCACGCGCAGTTTTTGATATTTTGCACACGCTTTCTAAATGGATTAAATAATGCGTTAAAAAAATGTAATTCAATTCTCAGCATTTTTGGATATCCCCTCCCGATGCCATAATATCCTCAAAAGGTTCCTCATACATTCTGAAGCTCGCAATGTCCCAAGAATTTTCATCCTCGCGAAGATCTTCAAGTTGGCAACGCAAAGAGTGCTTGGTATGTTCTACAACTCCAGTGTGAAACTCGTTTTATTCGGAGGAATCCCAGTAATTGCAGGCTGCCGAAATGATGCAGTGGTGGAGGGAGAGTTGTCAAAAAACCTCGTCTGGCCAGACGTTCCCCGGATGCGCCTGCTGCGCCGAGAGAGCATTTTTTGCTATTGAAAATGGGGACATTGGCCATCAAACCAAGAGCAACGGTCCTCAATCCTCAAAAAAGTTCAAGACGAAGGCAAAATATGTTTCAAAATATCGAATAAATATTGTAGAATTGAGGAGGGTAAAAATGACGATATTCTCCGGAGAATATCCAAGTATCTTTCACAGTTTAGTACAGATCACATGACAGATTCAACAAATTTCAATCATTAAATTTATCAATTTAATTGCGTGAGTAGGATTTGAAGAAAACATTGAGTAAAGCTGAAATATATTAAATAAATTGTGATAATTACCCGGCGACAACCACATGCTTCCCCATCTTCCTGCCAGCCTCGATCTCATTCCTGAAGTGATCCTCAGCTGGTGCCTTCACTGTGCACGAATTCAACAGCCAGAGATCGGCCTCTGATTTATCATCAGTGAGGTTGTACCCATAGGCAGCCAACTGTCCAGCCATGTACTCCGAGTCCGAGCTGTTGTGAGTGCAGCCCCATGTCTTCACGTAGATCGTCTGAGTGCCCGGAATGACACTCGACAGAATCTCAGGCCTCTTGACATCCCCGATGAATCCGTTTTTGCGTTTGACTTTAGAACGAACCGTCACGTTCTTTCGGGTGCTGTAGCGCTCCTTCGGGGTTATGTCCTGCGAGGAGATCAGGTCCTCGATGTCTTCTATTATTTCCACACACGAGTTGGACATGTTTTGGGGATTGTCGTCACTGAATTGAAAACCTAGTGTTTACGGGTGAAGTTTCGGGGGTTTAGTTCAACTCTTTTTGGGGAAAAGACATTGGACGGGGATGTCGAAGGGTGGAACGTAAACACGACCACGCGGATGTGCTCGGACTGTGCTGCCCTCGAGCGGACGGGGGTCGCAGCACTTTTGCCGTTTGGGATGAATTTGAAAATTCAAACTTCGGATTTTTTGGTCCCGTTTATTGAGGCAGACGGCAAAATTTTTGTAATAATCTCTTTGGAGCTTTCAATCTACTCTAAAAACGGTCGCCTAACAATGAAAAGAGAATACCATTCTATGTAGGCATGCAACTGCGTCACATGACCCGTCATATGACGGTCATGTGACCGTCATTGACGGTCACATGACGAGGCGTTCATGACGGCTGTCACAATTCCCCCTCCCCCTTCTGTGACCGTCGCAACTTGTCAACAAAAAATGAGTCATTTTTCATCTATATAGATGAAACTTAATTTTTTTCTCGGTCAATTTTCAGTTGAATTCCTTTTGTATTGGCCTAATCCGCATTTTGAAATGAAAATCACGTTTTTTTTCCATCCATATAGATGAAACTATTTTGTTTTATTCATGACCGTCACAAATTGGAAATTAGTTATGACCGTCATTATGCAACTTTATAGATTGTTTGACAACAATTTGGTTAAAAATGATTTGTGACAATCATTTGTAGTTGGAAAATTTGTGCGTCACATGACCGTCATTTTTTGGTCATATGACGCGATCTAAAAAATGACGGTCATTTTGCACCTCTAATTCTATGAAACATAAATAAACGAATCATAATTGTCGAAATAATTTAGGTCAGAGGAAAACAGAATAATTCTACTTTCTTAATATTGCGTTTACTAAGGTTTTCTTCGAACAAAGTTGATTAGAATTAATAGCTAGAATTATGAGATTATCTCACATTTTTGACGTTAAGAATAGGAGAATCTGAATGCAATATAGGGAAAATGATGATCGATTTTTTCTCTTTGGACAAATAATATTAATATCCAAATACAAAATTTCTGATATGAATAAAAAGAAGCTGTGACTCAATATTCCAAATCAGTAGTGAAGCGGTAAACCGAGTTAAGTCGATTTTGATTTTTGATCAGTTTTTGATGAATATCTCAGAACCTAAGGGAGATAGCAAAATTTTTCTCATGACCTTTCTTGTAGAACCGATTAAGAGCTATAAAAAGGTCATGACAAAAACTTTTCTATCTCTTTTAGATTCCGAGATATTCGTCAAAAACTGGCCAATAGTCAAAATCGACTTAACCCGGTTTACCGGTTCGCTACTGAAATGAAGTTTTAATTTTTAATTTGGTGCTGAAAACACGAGATGACAATATTCTAAGCACGGAATTATATTGATGAGATGAACTACAGATTAATTGAATTGCCGTGTGAACTAACTAAAAATTGATAACAGTGTGGGCACGCACTTTTACCAGAGTATCAACAAACATTGAATTCCAGAAATTCACACTCTAAAGTGTGTTCTAGAAGGAATTAAGTTGTAATTATGATTAAAATGTTATTCAGTGAGCATAGGAATTAGAATATGAACAAATCATTGGGACATATGATTCTCAGTGGTCCTATTGTTTCTTGCAATGAGAATGATTATAAACAATCAATTAAAAAAGATATTACCAATATCCTCTATTTAAGCAAAAAACATGACTTGAAATGAAGATAAGGATGGGGAAGATTTACAAAAAAGTTCTCAGCCAAATGTTTTAGTAAAAAATTTTCTATTTCTGCTTGAAATTGGAACACATCCTTGCAATTTTCACAACATCAATTACTCCTCTCCCATAAATGCGCTTCAGAGTTAATTTACAATCCCCTTTCCCCTCTCTCAATGAACACTTAAACTTAAATATCTTAAATAATTGAAAAACACACACGAATATGACAATTCTCTCCTTAAATTATTGCATCAACAATTTACATGCCTTGTATTTGGTATCACCTTGTGTCTTTTCATTTAATTAATTAATACTAATTTCTCATCGTAATTATCATCATAAATTAGTGATTGTGGGGTTTTTACAACTGTTCACACCTGAGTATTTTATTCATTCATGTAATCATGGAGTTGTTCTTTTATGAGAATTACCAATTAATTTTAATCATTAAAATTTCACTCCGTCTTGGATTAAAAATAGCAGATGATCTGGATTATTTAGAGAGCAAATGGCAAGTGATGAAATTCATTTTTTACCCTCAACTGTTGACTTTTAAAATCGAATCAATTGACGATGTACAGAGAGCACTGGATTACCCTTAATTTATAATTAATTAATCAACTCTTCCCTTCAATTTCAATTCATGGCATTCATTAATTTCGTTCGTCGCTTTTTATTGAGCAAAATATTCCCCAAAAAACAATCTCGTTAAATTATCATATGAGCAATTTTGTTCCCTCGTTTTCATATTAAATTAATACTAATTGAATTAGCAATTATTTTTTCATTGACACCACTGGTTTTGACCACTCAATGTCTCGACGATTAAAATTTACAATCTCCTGTTCCAACTGCTTTAAAAATATATATCTGACTCCGTAATAATTTTTTCTTCTTTTATTCTAATACCTAATGGGGTTTTAAATACTTAAAATAGACTTCCAGAGGCACTTGAATGGTTTTTACATCTTTTTTTTACAGAAAAATATATAATTTTGGAATATTCATCGAAAACATTACAAACACTACGATAATTCTGATACCCTAGGACCTAGACTACGTACATTTTTTTTCGGTGATTGAATAAACATTTAGAACATTGCGCAATCCTCGTGTGCAAGAGAAGATGGAGAATCAGCGGCAAATTGGTGAAATTGAGGTATTTCTCTTGTTCGTTGAAAAAAATAGACAAGACATCTTTTGTAGGGAATTTAATTCCCTACAAAAAAGATATTTTGACATTTTCTCCTAAAACGGCTCATTAACGAGATATTTGCATAATTAAATTACCAAATTTATTATAAATTGTTGAAAACAAATGATTTCTCCAGTTGAATTTGCAAATATCTCAAGAACGAACGATTTGTTGAGAAAACGTCAAAAAACATTTTCTGTAGAAAATTGAATTTTCTACAAAAAAGATCTTCTGACATTTTCTCATAAAATGGCTCACTAACGAGATATTTGCATAATTAAATTACCAAATTTATTATAAATTGTTGAAAACAAATTATTTCGACATTGAAATTTGCAAATATCTCGAAAACAAGAGAAATTTTCAATAAGCATGTTTTTTTGTTCAGAAAACCTGTCTTCTGACATATTATTCTGGAAGGATAGTCCCAAAAATGGAAAAAACAACTGGAAAATTCAACGATTTTCACCATTTCCTCACTGAATAATTCACATGTTGTTCCATCATTACATGATTTCCGCACTCACCGACAGAATAACAAAACAACTCACTCAATAAATTAATTATGCAGAACATTGAGTACCTCAACAACTTATAAAATCCCGAGTACAAAGAGTCAGTAAAAAATACTAGTCATAGTGATTTGGTTTTGCGATTCTTAGACCTACTTTCATGACGCATTCGCCATAAAAAAATACAATTTCATTTGATTAAGTAGTTGAGCGATGCACATTAAACGACAATGAGACAAAACCCTTCCTCTCTCGCAATTCAAATCACTTCATTCCATTTTCTTTTTTCATTTATTCAAACGAACATATTTTCAATTGCTTCCGTTCTAATTTTTTTCAATGTCTTTGTTATTTTTTATTCTCTGATTTATTATTTATCCATTCATCTTTTTAGGGGTTTATTATCGATGGGAATGGTGAATATCACAACAAATAAATTTAAAAAATGAGATAAATTATGCGGAACTCAGAATACAAAAAAACACAGGAATAAAAATGGAAATTATTGTTATTATCTTTTAATCTACTATTTTTGAATTTTCGTTGTTATTTTTGTTTTTTTAATTCATGTATGTGTTTTTTATTTGTTCGAATGAAAAAAATTGGAGAAATCAATTGAATGTTAAAAATCCATTCAATTTTTCTTTCTATTGCTCATTTTTTTCACTTATTCATTTATTGAGTCATCTCTTTTATTTTTTTATTATTGATTTCACTGGTGAATTCCTCGACAAACAAAAAACACGATACACAAATGAACAAATAAAAAATATGATAAAATATTCAGAATTTTGAATATTGTAAAAATGCAAAGCAATGAAAACGCGATTCTAAATCCTTTTAATTTCCCTTTTCACTCCTTCAATTTTTCCATATTTTTAATTTACTCTCGTATTCATTCACCTCTTCCATCAATGTCACCGGTGAATTCCTCAACAAACAAATAGAAAAACTAATAAAACATTCAGAATACAAAAATCCAAATTAATGAAACCGCGATGAAAACCTTTCAATTTTCTCTTCAATTCCCTCAATTTTCCCATCTTTTTACTTATTCACGAATTCATTCATCTCTTTTATCCGTTTATCACCGATTTCACTGGCGGTCCCCTCAACCAACAAATAAACAACCCACAAAACCGTTCAAAGCCCAGAATAAAGATTCAGAGAAACGCAAACGCCATTGTTCGAGGGCAAGCCCTTCGACGTTTCTCCCCATTCTCCTCTCTCCGTGGCCCATTGTTTTGTGCGAAAGGTACACGAGAGGAGGGGGCGCCCCCACAAGTGAATACCGAGGGCGAACAGCGGTCCCAGGATATAAAAAAAAAATAATAATAATAAAGATCGAAAAAAAGAAAATAAAGAGAGGAGGCGTACGAGACTCGAAACTCCGAATAAGTTCCTTATCTTCCCTTTTCTGTCTCAAACACGGGCTAAAGGCCCTCCCCCGTCCTCCCTCGCCCAAAAATTCTTCCTTCAACTACGAGAGCTGTTATACAATCGATAGATTAAACCATCGAGATAACTCTTAACGAACGCGAGAGACGAAATGGAAAAAAAAAATTGGAGGAAAAAAGGGGAAACGGAAATGTTTTCCCATTTGGAGACGAATTCTCTCGTTTTCTCGTGACGCTGATGATTTTTGGAGTTGGAAGAGTTGTTGGGAGGTCTGGGAGGTATGGCATGACGTGGAATGGCACGAAATTGGCGATAAGGTCTCGAGAATTCGCATTTTAACGATTCGGCGGCGAAGGAGTGAAGCGTAATGAGGGAATCCTCAGATTTTTAAAATTTATTTTCGGCTTTTCTTGGCGAGGAATGAGAGCGAATGACTTGACGTTTTCTTCTGGCTTAATTCGTGGGAGATATCAACAGGAAGTGATGAAAGACGATGGGCTGACGACCGGATGGATTATCTTTCGAACGTTATCCCGATTGTTTTTCCATCTTCGTAATCGAAAATGTGTTATAATTTCCATTGGATTTTGTGTCATGCAGAAGGCCCTAAAAATTATGACTGCACAAGCGAAAAAAGTTGAAAAAGAAACTGAACATTTTTAAAGAGCTGAAATTTTTAGTAAAGATTGGGGAATATGTTCGATAGAGAGGATATTGTAAATGGATAATTTATCATGAAAATTAACGGTCTGACAGCCATTGGCTGCTGTCACAATTGACGACCTAAAGACTCATAAAATACAGCAAATTACTAATTTGCAATTTTCTGCAAATTTATTTTCCAATATTATTCAAAAACACTCTGAAAATGTTCAATTTTTTCAACGTTTTTTTAGTTGTATAATCATCATTTTTAGAGACTCCAGGGCCACGTAAAACTGAATGGCAATTTGAGAACATTTCAGATTATCAAAATAAAAAAAAATAAACCAAGATCCCATGGGCCTCGAAGTTGAAGTTGTTGTTATTTTGAATTTAGAAAATGAGAAAGTGTCAAGAGATGCCTTTTGCGGAGAATTTAATTCCCAAGAACAAACAGCTCTTGACATTTTTCTCCCAAAATAATTCGTTAACGAGATAATTTGGTATTCAGTAAGTGATGGAATGAAATAATCAGTTAATAATCAATTAATATTGGATAATTCCTCTCGTTAACAAGAGATTTCAACAGATGATTTTTGTCATTCGTCTCCAAGTTCTGTAGCTCGAGTTGATGAGATTCAATGAACGTTTCACCCCTTCACACAAATTTTCCTTAAACCTAAAAAATCCTAAACACCGGGGTTAATCATCCTATGGCAATCGCGGAAGATTGTAACCAAATTAATCCTATCTAAACCTTAAACAATACTAAACTTTCTGACTCCCCAATAATACTAGACACAGGGACTAGGTATCTGTGACAAATCCACCTCCATAATCCCCAGAAAATCTTCACGAAGTACAAAACCCTGCGAAAATGTTTCTACCTCTTCAATTATTTCAAAAATTGTCTTAAAAAAACGTTTTTGGAAAAAATAGAAAAGGATCCAGAGAACTAGTTCTTCTCAAAAACCAACAGATGAGTCGCTTTAAGGACATCACCCTGGGGTCAGAAAATACAGAGAACAACCTGAAAAATTTTCAACCCATTATTTAACCCATTCAGAAATCGTGTGCAAAAAATGAAAAATTGCTCGTACAGAATAACAACGAAAATAAATTCCAAAGTTGCTACTTATACACGAGGTTAAGTGGAGCATCGGTAAGTTCAGCATTTTTCCCACATTACCCGTTGAGGGATAATGTAGGGAAAACACTGAATTTATCGATGTCCCATTAAACCTCACGTATAAGTAGCAACTTTGGAATTTATTTTCGTTGTTATTTTGCACGCGCAGTTTTTGATATTTTGCACACGCTTTCTAAATAGATTAAATAATGCGTTAAAAAAATTTAATTCAATTCTCAGCATTTTTGGATATCCCATTCTGAAGCTCGCAATGTTCCAAGAATTTTCATCCTCGCGAAGATCTTCAAGTTGGCAACGCAAAGAGTGCTTGGTATGTTCTACAACGCCAGGGTGAAACTCGTTTTATTCGCAGGGATCCCCAGTAATTGCAGGCTGCCGAAATGATGCAGTGGTGGAGGGAGAGTTGTCGAAAAAACTCGTCTGGCCAGACGTTCCCCAGATGCGCCTGTTGCACCGAGAGAGCATTTTTTGCTATTGAAAATGGGGACATTGGCCTTCAAACCAAGATCCAACGGTCCTCAATCCTCAAAAATGCTCAAGACGAAGGCAAAATGCGTTTCAAAGTATCGAATAAATATTGTAGAATTGAATTTCACCCCCGAACTCGAGTGGAATGATCGCTGTCACGTGTGGCTCTCGAGAATAAAGATGATCCTCGTATTTCATAAACGCCTGAGGTTCCTCTTGCTCTGTTTGGAGCCCACGATTAGTGGTGGTGTTTTTCGTTTGGTTGGCGTTGCCAGAAGGGGAGTCTTACACAGACCTGTGTGTGGAGTTGATAAACAGTGTGTACAGAATTCTATGCTGCAGCCCTCGCGGGTGCATGTTCCCACGTTCTTCTCGGTGTTGACGGGACAGGCGAAGTTACATTTGGGACAGGAGAAGAGACGATCCGATGGGGCGAGCCTCCTGCTTGCCTGGAACACATAAATTTTGGATTTTTTTTAACGCTTCGCTTTGGGGGTATTTTTGGATAAATTGATAATTGAGGAAGATGATTTTTTTGCTTCCGAATTGTGACCCTCATTATGCCTCTCGCGACCCTTAATCTGACCCATATGACCCTTAATTGGACCCTTGTAACACTTAATCTGACCCTCACGACCCTTAATCTTACCCTTGTGACCCTCATGACCCTTAATCTGACCCTCACGACCCTTAACTTGACCTTCGCGTCTCAATCTGACCCTCACGACCCTTAATCTTACCCCTGTGACCCTCATGACCCTTATTCTGAATATCGTGACCCTTATTCTCACCCTTGTGACCCTCAATTGTGGAGTCTTAATTTCGAGCACCAAATTTTCATCACCAAAAGTTGATTTGGATTTTTATAATACAGAGAATTGTTACATTCGAAAATGAAGAAAACCCACTGAATTTCAACGTTAGTTTTTTGAAAATATCTCGAAATATAACAGAGATAACAAAATTTACGTCAAGAGCATTTTTGTAGCATTTCAATTTCTCTATAAACAATGCCTTATCACATTTTTTTCTCAATCCACTCGTAGTAGAGATAATCAACGATTCCTGTTGACAAAAAAATTTTGAAAACGAGATAATTAATTTTACACAGACGACCATGAAAAATTAGTCCAATCTGTTGCTAGGCGAATAGAAGACAGCTCGGAGTTCCGCTCCACGCTGTTCGCCTCAACGGGCCATCGGATTGTTTCGTAACGCCTGTATCATAAATTTCGCGGGCCCAATCAAGTGGCTCTAAACTACCCGAAAATGATCTCTCCCATTCACCCTCCGCGCGGCATTCACGGAGGATTTTACATGTTTATGCAATGCGAGATATTTCCAACGGCTCTCTCATTCGTTTAGTTGCCGAGGAGTTCATAACGATAAGTGATAGAGAGTACCTCGGCACTTCTTGAAACACGTGCCGAGAGACCCACCTCAACACAGCCATTCAATATATCATGTGGGCAAACGTAAATATTGCCACTAAGGACCATAAACAATCTCTCTTCTCTCTCCTTTTACAGAGTCATTCGGTATACTTTTATGAAGATATTTGGAGTTGATTGTATGAGATAGTCAAAATAAATCTTTGTTGATGAACTCGTAAATTCGGTTTGAGAAAATAAAGGGTTTTTGTTCTGTGAAGATTACGTGCGACTTATTCTCCTGGGATAGCGAATGGGGAAGGAGGAGAATTTCGATGTATTCATCGAAATAGATTGGGTTGTTCTGAATAACTGGTATTTCGATCCGGAAAAATGCTTGTTAATGCAAATTATGAAATTCTCAAAGTGTTGAGACCAATAATTCATTGAATTATCTCATTAATTCGTGCTTGGGAATTTTGTTTTCTCTGATGAAACAATTTCAACGTTGATAATAATCAGAAGTGTATTTTGTTGATTCAAATAACTTTGACTTGCTGTTTTTCATCCCTCAGTCTGCTTTCACTAAAAAAATTGCTCACTGATGATTACCAAATCTCAAATATTTTATACTAAACATTTGAAGAGAACGATGATAACTCTTTGTCATAAACAGAGATTTGGTTATTCCAAAAAATTGATATTTCCTGTGCAAGCGAGAAATGTAAATTCCAGCATTTTAATACTTATTTTGTTCTCGAAAAATGTTTGTTTGATGCAAAACAACAACCAAATAGCCACATTTTTGGCTCGAGAAATTTGTACGAATGATTCAACGAAATTGCTATTTGTTTGTCGTTTCGGCTATTCAATACTCAAATACAAGAAATGAATTTTTAAATAGAATAACAATGACGATGTGCTAGCAACCCTGTAACTTCGAACGAAATATTTATCATTTAGCTTCACTTTATGAGAGATATTCTCATCCTGAAATGTCACGGTCTCCCCGCGAATGATCAGCCTCTTGAGCCAAATGTATCGTTGTTGAAAGCAGTCAAAATATCTACATGTTCATACTGCCTCTTCCAAATCTCGAGCGAAACATGAAGAAAGTGTTGCCAAAATTTTCTGCATCAGATCAGATTTTTTGATCAGATGATCTATCGTCGCCAGAGGATGAGAAATCATCCACAGAAGCAGCGAAGCAGTTGCTCCAAGTGATTGGACTCATAATTCACTGAATTATTATACTATTCATATTTGGAAATTCTGTACGTCAAATTTCTATTGATCCATCTAGACCTCAATCTCTTCCTTGAATTGAGACCTATCGCATCAAATTAGGCTATTGAAAGTAATCCAATAGCTACATTGAACCCTAGAACAGTATCGAATTACCGAAATTTTTGTTTTGTCCGGAGGTTCATTAATTCGATAAATCCACGGTCCACTTGGCCCTTTCAAATCCACCGGTCATTCTCCACTTATCCAGAATCTATTTTGCCACCTGAATGCCTCCACCGCGTTCCGCCCTCTCTAAACGCTCTCAAAACAAATGTGGAACCGAAATCGGCCTTCGGTGCGGTTTGTTTCGTCTAATTACCCGCGATTCGAATGAATTATGTACACCGGAAAACCTGGAACCGCAGCCCGAAAAATTGAGGGAATCGCCCTGTGGACAATGTCTAGAGGTTTCGAACGCGTTCAGATGTTCTCCATTGAATTTCCTCGGCTTAAATTGTCCAAATTTTTTAGTTTGATTTTCTTAATAAAAAAAGAAACAGAAAAATTGAATGAAAAACGAATAATAATGAAAAAAAAAATGACCGTTAATTTTACCTTTGTGATCCTTAATCTGACCCTTGTGACCCTCATATGGATCCTTAATCTGACTCTCATTATAACCCTCGTAACCCTTATTTTGACCCTGGTGACCCTTAGTTTCTGACCCCTTATTTGGGCCCTTAATCTGACCCTCGTGCCCTTATCTTGACCCTCATGACCCTTATTACGACCCTCATAACCTTTATGCTGCCCCTCATGACCTCATTATTTAGACCCCTAATCTGACCCTTGTTACCCTTATTTGGGCCCTTAATCTGACCCTCATGACCCTTATTACGACTCTCATAACCTTTATGCCGCCCCTCATGACCTCATTATTTAGACCCTTAATCTGACTCCCGTGCTCCTTAATCTGACCCTCATGGGCCTTATTACGACCCTCATAACCCTTATGCTGCCCCTCATGACCTCATTATTTAGACCCTTAATCTGACCCTTGTTACCCTTATTTGGGCCTTTAATCTGACCCTTAAATTTGTGGCCCTTAATCTTCCCCTCGTGCCCCCTATTCTAACCCTTATTTTGACCCTCACGACCCTTAATGACCCTCATAACCTTTATGCTGCCCCTCACAACCCATGTGGCCCTTAATTTCGGAGTCTTAATTGCGAGTACCAAATTTTTATCACAGAAGTCGATTTGGATTTTTATAACATAGAGAGATGTTCATAAACGAAAAATTAATCATTTAAGGCGGAAACCTGAAATGAAAAAAATAAAAATAAAAAAATTCTGGCAAGTTCTCTATTAAGTGTGTATTGCGGTGCTCGAGGAAAGAGAGACGATTGTAAACTCCAGAATTGGTTAATGAGGCTATTAATTCTGCAGTTCATGGAGAGCAATAATGATGTTTTGAGAACATCTGTTGGTTCGAGTTGGGAGAAACTGCATTTCTCCGGAATATCGTCGCCTCTCTTCGTTAATTCTCGAGACAGAATTTTTTAGATTGACGAATTAGTCAAGGGCTTCGGGTATTTAAAATGAAAATATTTCGTTCGAAGTTACAGGGTTGCTGTCACATCGTCATTGTTATTCTATTTAAAAATTCATTTCTGATATTTGAGTATTGAATAGCCGAAACGACAAACAAATAGCAATCTCGTTGAATCATTCGTATAAATTTCTCGAGTCAAAAGTGTAGCGATTTGGCTGTTGTTTTGTATCAAACAAACATTTTTCGAGAACAAAATAAGTTTTAAAATGCTGGAATTTACATTTCTCGCTTGCACAGGAAATATCAATTTTTTGGAATAACCAAATCTCTGTTTATGACAAAAAGTTATCATCGTTCTCTTCAAATGTTTAGTATAAAATATTTGAGATTTGGTAATCATCAGTGAGCAATTTTTTAGTGAAAGCAGATTGAGGGAAGAAAAACAGCAAGTCAAAGTTATTTGAATCAACAAAATACATTTCTGATTATTACCAACATTGAAATTGTTTCATTAGAGAATACAAAATTTCCAAACACGAATTAATAAGATAATTCGATGAATTATGGGTCTCATCAGTTTGAAAATCTACATTCTGTCAATTATTTCTCACGCAGAAAATGACATTTATTCCATGAATTTTTTTACAATTCCATGAATTTTTTTGAATTGTAAAAAAATTCATGGATTTTTTTTTGTTGAAAATTGATATTTCCTTTGGACGCAATCCAAAAAAATTCATCATCTTTCCCTTCAAATGTTTAGTACAACATATTTGAAACGTAATCATCAGTGAGTAGAAAACAAATACAAATACAAATTTTGGATTTAATAAAAAAATCAAAAATTTCCAAACATCAATAATAAAATAATTTCGAAATGACTTACGCGTTGTTTTGCATTAAAGAAACATCACCCTGAACCCCTGAATCTCAACATTTTCCAAATACCTCCAAAAATTCTTTTCCAAGCCCTTTTCCCCTCTGAAGAGCCAGAGCCTAAAAAATGATTTCTCACGACTGCCGACGTTGACAAGATTTAGAACCCCAAGAAATACCGAAAAACTCTCCGAGTCGGCCGAAAACCCTCGGGAATGATGCAGCAGCTCGCTGCAGCCACACGTCGGCCAGCTGCTCCTCCCAAACCCAATCTCTCTCTCTCTCCCGACCTCTCCCCGAACCTCACGCGAAAACTCGTACATAATAACTTCCTCCCGGTCCGTGCGTGCGCAATAATATTCGTCCATTACTCCTCTCAATGACCGCCGCAAACCCACAAAACAAAAATAAAATGAGTGTA